TCTGTTGCCGCTATAACAACAAATAATAAAAATAAAAATAAATTAAAAATTAAAGGAGGCTCCCTACTAGAAATGTATTTTTACGATGGTACGGAACCTTTCATGCGCGTGTCCGACTCGTACTTGGGCGATTTTTTTTACGTTAACGCTTATTTCATTAAGGTGTCTACTTATTTAAAGTGTGAAAATTAGTGTTTTTAGGTACACCGCTGGACATTTTCAATTATTGGAGTACTTAATTAGCAGATAACCTCGTTTGGCCTTCACTGCTCTCCATTCCTAAGTAGTCCGTTAGGGAATAAAATAATGCTGCATGATTTTTTTTGCGGGACTAACTGATCCCGCGCCTTCAAGAATAGATTCGGTCTAAATTGTGAGGGCTCGCGCAAAATTTACGAGATTGATAACGTGATACCCATACCAGAATTGACGACAGAGATGCATTGATCGGCTGCCTTGTAAACGGGACAGATTAAGGCACTGAAAGTAGGGGGAGGAGGCATTAACACATCATGAATTAAAAATAACGATAATTTCGAAAGTCGACGCACACCACGCGTTCTGAGAGTTAGTAGCTTCTTTGAAAGCATTGCTGTAAAAAGAGATGAATTATTTTGAGCTGAACGAATAAAAACCGCAAGCATTCGTCTAAAACTCATTACTAAGTCATTAAACGTCATTAATAATGATAGCTGTTCCCACCAGCGTGAAAACAGCGAGCCTTTTCCGCTGCCTACCTAGTTTTCAAGGTCAAAAGCCGTTAAGCCCGTTTTATATTGTTGCGCGGCTTTTTGGAGCTATTGTTATTAATTCGTAATTTGAAAAATTGATTGACGATTATTTTTTGATGATATGTGCTTATTGCAAAATTATATTATTCTTAGTATTTGGGCATAAAGATAAAGATATTGCGCCAGTATATTAACAGGCTGTGAGGCGTTCCGTGTTAGATCTCAATGGTGACAACGCGGCTGTAGCTTAGTAGTAGCTTTCTTTGTTAGAAATTGGATTGTGCTTTATTTTTAGGATAAGGATGACAAACGAGCACGAAGTCCACCTTTTTTTTTTAACATGGGGAAATGCCTACGCATACCCGCCTCGCGGGGGGCCTGGACGGGTTATGTCGGACTCGCACCGACTAAAACCCCATGGTGTTCCACATTCGTCGCATATTGGCAGGGCTACGGGAACGCTTTCGCACACTTCCGCGGCCCTACCAGCGACTGCCGCCCCATGGCAGCACCTCCTCGGGAGAGGAATATTCCTCCCCGTTCTCCTTCCCAAGTAAGGCGCACCAGAACACATGGCACGCCTTCCTCCACGGCCTCCAATTGCATCTGCGCAACAGACGCCCCCGCGTCCTATGCGCGAAGGCCATGGGGCCAGGAAAAACGAGCACTTAGAAGTACTAGCCTTCCCGACCCCAGCGGCGGATCTGGTCTATGGCTCCGCCGCCAACCAAGATTCGGCTGCCGAGGATAGGGAAAGCGGCACCTCGCAATACCGACAATCCTCTCCCCCCGCAGCCCCATCACCACCGCATCAACGGTGCGGCCCCGTTTGAGTCGCGGAGGATAGGGCGAGTGGCGCATCGCCATACCAACACTCCTCTTCCTCCGCGACTCCACCTCGACTGCAGCGGTAGAGGGTGCGGAGTCCCCACTCGCTGCAGTCCACCAGCACACATCCGAAGTGGGCTCCCCAAGCCCACTCGGAGTGGCCACCTCAGGCCGGCCCTTCACCTCGGACCAGCCACGTGGGTTCCTCTTTGTTCACCGTGGGAGACCAAGCCACGGCTACTAAGCCCCCCCGCCACGACAAGGCGGGAACCCGTTCGGGGGGGGAGCACAACGTCCACCTGGTGGTAAGTGGTGGTTGCTGTGGCCCATAGATACCTACATCTATTCTCGAGGCTTGCAGCAGTGTAGTTACATCAGTCTACATTTTTGATCAGGTGGACTAAGGTATGTGAGGGTAGTATGGTCACCTTAAGCTTTGCCGCCGTATAAAACCAAAACTAGGAGAAGGATAGAGACAATAAACAAAGGCGTATACTGTAACTAACATATTAAGAAAAATATAAGCTTTGGCAATAATTAGGAGTACTTCGAAAAATCTTTTTAAAAATTAATAGCTACAGTAGACCATACTAAAATCGGCTAAAATAGTAATAATACGACACTTGTTTCGCCTCTACACGAGGCATCTTCAGGAGATGTAGACTCAGCCGCCGTAGAGTCTACATCGATGGTGTGTCTTTCCTGGAATAGTGGTGTTGGAAGTAGTGGCGCCGGGAGTAGTGGTGCTGGGACTAGTGGTGACGGGATTAGTGCACGCAATTGAAGGAGGGCGGGAGGTGCTCTTCAATCCAGGTAAGACACATCATTGTATTTAATTAAGCGGATGGTTGCGAATTAGATATTAATCTTTATTATAATGAATTTCCGCAAAGTAACGCCTGATTCTATCAATCATATCTACCTAATTTGTCTACCTTTTCAAGAATGGATCAACTACATTGTACTTAAAAGATATTACCATTTTTAACATACAGTAGATCAGTCTGATTTTGGGGGTCGATGTGGTTTAAAAATTGACCCCTATTAATTAACACAAGTTCTCATTTGAAACTTTCAAGATACTGAAGTTGTGTTACGTGTACCAACTTGTTATAAGAATGACTAATATTTTAGTAGGGAATATCATTTTATGTTTATTTATTTTGTTAAATTTTGATAAGAAAATGATGTCAAGTTTAATCACTTAAGGGGAAATATAATGTCAAATGGCTTAGCAAGATCCTTCGTTATGCTGAAAATATTGCAGCATTAATTTTGAAATAAATATATGGTAAAGTTGAGGATTAATGTTAATGATTATGTTAGACGAAAACACGATTTTGTAAAATTTTCTCGATAGAAAAAAAAAATCCAAAGTTACCTCCAAAATAAACAATGAACCGCTGTTATTCATAAAATACTTTAAATAAGATCATGAAACTTTACATACTAACTGAACTAACTATAAAGCAGTGCTTATGTTATTTACTTTTTTTAACCCTTAGCACCACACGCTATTTCTGGCCACGCATCTACACACGTGGGGGAGCGTGGTCCCCCAAAAAGAAAAATCATATATCAGTACCAATTTGCATTACTAGACCAGTTTTTTTTTCTACGAAATAAATAAAATACATTTTTTGAATGTTATTAGAGTATTTATTTATAACTTTAAACTTAAAAATATACATTTCTAGCGTCAAACAAAACAAGTCACATAAAACACGTTAAATTTTAAGAGTTTACTTTGAAAAGCTATTATGACTTAAAAGTAGAAACAAGAAATAAATCGAGTCTTTTTTGTAGTTACTCATATCTTATGAATTACAAATAATACATAAAAATCTACAAAAATACTTAAACGTGTAAAATCACAAGAGGAATGCACATAGTACTTAGAAAATATCAAAAAAATCATTTCAGTCTCAATATTTTCTATCAAAATAATGTATTTTAGCCCAATTAATACTTTTCCTGACATTTAGCACATACTTTTACGTCTACAGAATGATTACGGCACACATTCTTCATACATTTTGAGCACACTCTTGGGGTGTTACTGTCTTTGAGTCGTGGGCACAAATGACAGCGCGATTTCTTTGGTCTCTTATTTTGGCTTGGTTCTTGTGCAGTTTGATCTTCAGGTAGCTCAACACCAACCTCACGGAGAAACTTGTCAATCATATCTTTCAGCTCTTGAAAGATTTGTCATAGATCTTCTATTCATAACATGTGGAGTTACTAAAGCGTATCCAAGTTCTTCTGAAAAACTTGTAACGGCTCATACGCTTTTGAGGGTTTGAGGCGCAATATAGAACATGACTGTTTACTCCTGATATATTCAACATCGCACAGAATATTGTAGTTGGCCATCTTTGACTTCTCCTGTTGACACTGTAAGCAGCACACTTCTGGTCAAGAGCATCCACGCCACCTTTTGTAGAATTGTAAAATTCAATGATCTCTGGTTTCTTAGTTTCAGGATTCGTTACAGCTTCATGATGCATGGAGGATATGAGCGCAATACTATTGTTCTTTTTCGGTACAAAAGACACAAGTGTTTTATCTTTTTGAAAGCCATAGATTGACGAGAGAGCTGGCCTGCTCCTATGAGGAAGAAACTGCAAAGGAATTTCTCTTTTATTCTTACGAATAGTGCCTACATAAGTTAGGCCTTTCTGTTTCAAAGCATCAACCAACTCAATCGATGAAAACCAATTATCACCAGTTACATTTCTGTTAGTTTGGTAAATTGGTTCAGTCAGTGTCAAAACGTTCCTTGTTGGTATCAACAATGTATTAGCTCGTGAAGTTTGCTCTTTTCCTGAATAAATAAAGGCATTGTACAAGTAATGTGTTTTTGCATCACATAAACACATTATTTTCAGCCCATACTACGCTGGTTTTGATTTCATGTACGTACGGAAAATACATCGACCTCTGAAAGGAACGAGCATTTCATCAACAGTAACGTACTCAGAGCAGCTGTAGTTAGTGATACAATTTTTTATAAACTTGTTAAACAATTCTGATATTAGAGCAAGTCTGTCTGTCTTTTTTCGTTCTTCTCGTGTAAGTTGTTCGTCAAATCGTAGGCATGATAAGATAAACAAAAATCTATTTAGACTCATAACTGTTCTGAAAATAGGTCTACCCCTTGTTTTGGCTGACCATATGCCCCGAGCATCTTCTCTCGCAGATTTGAATATGCCTGTCAAAAACATCAACCCAATAAATGCCAAAATTTCCTCTCTTGTGACATAGTAAGTATAGGCTGAGTCAGATGTATAGTTTTCTGAATAATTTGTGATTTTTTCATTAGTATGTTGTAAAATCAATTCAATCATATCTTCAGTAAATAGACAAGACCATGCTTCCAATGGAGATATTTCATTTTTGACTTGTGCAGGACCTCTTAGACCAGGTAAATGAATAATAATGTTATGTGCTGGCACTCGTGATCGCGATGGTGGTACTTTCGACCATTTGTACCATGTTGTCACTTGAGTCTTCGTTATCAGAGATATTTTCCGCTTCTTCTTCACTTTCAGTATTGTGATCACTGATTTCAGACTCCACGTCACTCAAATCCGATGATGCATCATGAAAAATGTCCTCATTCACGTTTTCGTCAGAGTCTAAGTCATTCAACAGATCTTGTATCTGCTGGGGATTCAAATTTTTATCCATATTGCGCCACAAACCTAAAAAAAAAAAAACAAATAAATAAGTAAATGAAACAACAAAAAAACTAACGTAATTACACTCGTGGGGGACTAGGCTCCCCCATCGACTCGTACCTCTTGAACTAAGCACAATAGCCAGGCGCGCGTCCACTCCCCGCGAGACCTCGGGCGGCACTGGGAATACACGAACACTCAACCGCGTTACGTTTCAAACATTTAAAATATTTTCTAAATTGTGAGCGGTGGGGGAGCTTACTCCCCCACGTGTGGTGTTAAGGGTTAAATACCATTATTTTCACTGTAAAAAGAAATTACCTAAACTATCGGCGTCTTGAGCTTGATTCCAGTCGCCCCGTTAGTATCGCTTAGGCTTTTGAAGGGAGAAGTTGTGTCGCTTATCGATCAGAATATACAGTACGCAACAGTACGACGTAAAATTAAAATGGGAAATAACCGTGATAAAAATAAGAAGCGGCTGGCTTGGCGTTAAGAAACAGGCATAAATATGATAAACCTAATGAAATAAGTGTCTAACGACCTTTCTACTTACAGTATTAGTGATTACAAACATATCGGTACATAGCATACGACGCGCGGGGAAGTGGTGGCGAAATTAGAATTTGAGCTGACTTACTCTATCCTCTTAACCACAAAGTTTTAAATAGATAAGTATTTTGTATCAATAGGAAGAAAGAATAGAGACAGGATTTTTTAAGTAATTTAGCTATGGTGGTCTGAGGTATCAGTTCGTTTTGGAAAATGGCTCTTTTGCCCAAAATAGTTCGGGAGTCCCTGGTCTAAGCGATTAGTGTCTTGTATCATCTAATATATGCAATATTGTTATTTGTTGGTCGCTGGTTAAGCAGCAGACTAAAATAGATTCGTTCTTTTATTTAAATTAATGTTGAGACCTATATAAGTTCTCTTACGTCGCAATCACACAGCATACCTAGTACCTACCTACCATCACGTAGATGTCGTAAGAAGCGACAGACGGAAACTGAAACCAAACATGGCCAGCAGAATCTCATTGAACATTTCAATGTGATAATAAATACATCTACCAACCCGCCTGCAAACGTGGCAACCACGTCATATATCCTCTATGATAATATATGACCTGTAATCGGTCTATATTTAACTATGAACTTTGATAGGCTGTTTTGAATGTTAAATAATAATGATATATTCATTAGTGTAGTGTCACTCCAAGCACAAGCCTCCTCTCCTTTCTGAGCGAGTGCTTATAAACAGTGCGTTTTGGGAGACATCGCATAGCATTTTAAATAATTTATTCCGCATACATACAGGTTTCCTCACGATATTTTTCTTTACCGCCAACTACTTACTTGGTCAATCATTACTAAAATTTGCAAATAATTAATCGCCGGTGCCGGCGTGAATTGAAACTCGCAACTGTACAATTTAGGTTCTACAGCAAGTTTAGCCCTTGAGCTAATATGGCTCAACTTCTTTCATTTCGGTAAGTATATAATCTAAATCATTAGTCGCCGATATGAGTTCGTAAAACTTAAGGCCAGTAAACGCGGAGGTGGCGCCATCACACGTTTAATTTCTCTTTTAAATCTTAAATACAGCTACGGACAATACTATATACTAACGGTTATAACGTTGATGTAAGTTCACGCTAGATGTCGTTAATTTATAACACACAGTGTTCACGAAAATTTACTGTAATAAGTTATAGTAGGTAATTATTTTATAAATAAAATTTTATAAGCAAAACGAAGAAGTGATATGTATCTACCTACGGATTCTATGCAACAAGATATATCTAAATATAATATTATTTATGCCTCTACATTTTTGTTAATTGTATCTAATAATTACTATTTTCTTTATTATGAATTTTTTTTTTAAAACAAACCTACTAATGTTTTAGATATGGAGTGTAGAAGTAAGGAGTACCAACTCCTTTATGAGAATAGTTGAAAAAGTGTCCATCTGTAAGCTATGGAGTGTAGAGGTACTTTAAGCAGTAAATAACAGTTCAAAAACTCTCCACTACAGCGCTCGAGTAGCTACGGAGTATGTTAAATCGCCGTAAAATACGTTGAGAGTGATTTTGAAAATAAAAATTTTGAAAGCAATAAAATAATTATTGTAAAAAAATTATGGTGAAAGTCTGTGCAATAAAACAATTATAAGTGCGCCATCCTTATTTAACGCCTTCGTACGGACACTTTTTTATACAGAGTTTGTACTCTTTACCCCTACACTCCATAGTTCTAGAGTTGCTTTTGAGCAAAAGCAACCAATTCAGTTTTAAATTTTGTGTTTTTAAATAGGTATGTAGACATAAAAAATTCTGGATATTGATAGAACACAAATTTCATAATAAATAAAAATACTTTTTTCGTAAATTCGTGTTTGGATAAGTTATAAATTCCAATAAGACCATGCACAACTTTTTTGCCGCTAGGGCGGCGCTATTTAAAAATGGAGTGTAATGTTTGACAGATTTTGGCTGTTTAAACCAAAAATGGTTATATTTTTGATAGAACAAACGTATTTTAACAAAGAAAATTATAAATTTGAGTGAGGGGGCTAACTGTAAGGCAAATTATTAAATATTTTTTTTATAAATAAATTATTGACGACAAACAGTTATTGATAGAGAAAAATGAAGAACAAACCAATAACTAACGATATTGATAACGAAATTTGAAAAATAAAAAGATAAAAATTTTCGGGATGTTAACTTTGTTGAGCCACAAATTTTGTAGCAGCGAAGTTAATTTGTTTGAAAAATGTAAAAGTCAATGTCTGTACTATTAGATATTATATTAATTAGATTAAAAATAAATAAACTAAACCATATTCATAAAAGTAGAAAAATTAAAAAAGAGTTATAAATGTGCAAAAAATTAAAGACCAACCCACTGAGGCACTGTTGTCTATCAATATAATAATCTAGAAACTGATAAACTTTTATTTAAAACTAACTTTTCAAAAACTGTAACAAAAAACTATGGAGTGTAGAAGTCCGTAGCTATAGTGGCGCCATCCTTATTTAACTGTTTTCTATGGACACTTTTTAATACAGAGTCTGTATTCTTTACTTCTACATTCCATACAAAAAAAAATTTACTTCTGTGTCATCTAGCGATATCTAAGGAGCGAAAAATTATTAGCCCTCATTGATATTAAACCAATATAAATTTTTAATTACTTAAAATTAATTAATATTAATTGAGTTCCACCAATAATAGTTCTAAAAATTTTTGCGGCTTCCTCATGTTTTACGAATAGCTTTGGAGCGTAAGAATAGAGAGAGCATAAAAAGTATTTTTTTATTTACACGAACTTGATAATTGCTAACTACTCATTCCTAGATGGCGCTACATAATGGTATTTTACGACTTTTTCTGCCACCAGGGCAGCACCACTCTAGAAACCAATAAAGTTTTTTTTTTAAACTAAATTGTGAGTTAAATGGCATTGTGTAACAAAAATCTTTAAACAGTTTAACCTGAGTGTCAACTAGCGACATCTGGTGAACGGAAGATTATTAGCCCACATTCATTATAATAATAAAAATGCAATGATTTTTCTATATTAAACCTTTTTCTTTATACTTGGCTAGTTTTATGTACTAATATTATATCTATTCCATTCGTTTACAGCCTACAAGGCCCGCCACTTACATACGAATCCCGAAACGGAATTCTATATGTATGTGACCGACCTAAAAGTCCATCGCTGAACACAGGCCCTCATACATGGGAGGATTTTGCCATAGTTGCCACCGCAGTTTCTTATTATTTTGAGTTGTTATCAGGAAGATATGCTGCTCATCTCCTGTTTCAGTTTCGCTCTGTTGCCTCTTACGACACCGTCGGGACGCTATGGGGTAGTCGATATTCTAACACTGTCACTACACGGATTAATATTATAAAATCGAATAAAGTGAATGTAATTTTCTTAGTTTTTGGTTATTGAGTAATAATTATATTCAATTTATTAGATCATACAAATACTTGTTCCTTGAAATTTTAGCTACTAAACTTACAATTCACTTGTATGTATATCGTCGGCCTCGTTGACAGACTGCCTTGTTGACTGACTGCCTCGTTGGTCTAGTGGTTGTAGTAGTGGGCCTGCTGATCATAAGGTCCTGGGTTTGAATACCGGATCGGCCAAATAAAAAAATTAGTTATTGAGTTTTTCCATCAAGAAATTCTCAGTAGATGCCCGGACGCAGGAAGTTGGTGGTGTCTCACCCCCGTGCCTCGGAAAGCACGTAAAGCCGTTGGTCCTGCGCCTGATCTCTCTCCGGTCGTGTCGGTTTACCGTCCCATCGGATTATGAGAGTGAGGGAGTAGAGAGTGCACCTTTGCTACGCGCAAGCAACACTTGGGCACTATAATCCTGTCCTGCGCCCATGGCTAGCCTCCTTCATTAATATCAGTATAACAATATTTTGACGGCTTCGTGGCGCAGTGGCTTAGCAAGGAGTTACAGCGCTAAGGGCCGCGGGTTCGAATCCCGCACGGAACAAGTATTTGTATGGCCTACAAGTATCTAATTGTTCCGGGTCTGGATGTTTGTAGTTTTTTGATCCTTTTCCTTGAAATTTATGTTTGTAAACTGCTTTCACAATACAGGAGAAAATCCTAGTTTGGAAATAACGTTGTTTAAAAAATATAAAAAAATATAAATTTTCCTTGATGTAACGAATTACTAACAATTTTGCCACCATTTTTTTTTCTTTTGTTTTTTTATTTGAAAATATAATAAAAGAGCTTTCAATCTATAACTATAACTTTTTATGAAAACTAAAAAGATTTTAAACTATAAAGTCATAAATAATATAGGTGTTTGGCAAAGCTCTTTAGTATGGAGTGTAGAAGTAAGGAGTACAGACTGGGTATTAAAAAGTGTCCATAAAAACCTTTAAATAAGGTGTCGCCACTATATAGCTACGAGGTAAATTTTAAAGAACGCACCGAAAAATATTAGTGGGATAGACGACTTTTTCGAGGTTATATTTACTAAATAAAATTATTTTAGATTTTAGAGCTACTGAGCAGTTTAGCAGCACACTTAAACCGTCGACAACTGCTAAGTTCATTTCATCCCAGTAGCTACTCCAGCGCATTTGTGGAGAGTTTTTGAACTGTTATTTACTGCTTACAGATGGCCACTTTTTCAACTATTCTACTATGGGAGTTG